GTGACTCCCTGTGCCTCATGCAGGAGGGGTGTGCTCTGTTGAGAACTCAGGGGCTATTGTCGGGGGGTCCTCTTCCGGGCGCCATCCTGGGGGGCATCTCTCCACCTGCCTGTCCCTGGGCTGCCCTGTGGGGTGCGGTCCTTGGTCTGGGCGCCTCCCTCTCAGCTGGATGGGAACCTCTGTGGGGCCACAGGGTTGGGTCCATGACTCATCGTGAGTTCTCGTGCATTTGTTCTTCCATCTGAGAGTCCTTCCCGGCCACCCAGTTGTGTGGTCGCTAACGCTATACACTACGTATACTATATACAGGATGGAGACCCGCCCGCCCAGAAAATGTAGCTGTGGTCCCCACTGTTGGCCTGCTGATAACCAGTGAATCCTTCTGAAGTTTCGTGGTCTTAGTTCAGGGGTGATATCATGTCTGTCATCTTCACTTGAAGCTACTAAAATGTTTTGTTCTGGGCTGGTGGCATTAGGGACTTCTGTCATTCGGGGCTGCAGAGGTAGACTCGGACCTGTTTAAAGGTCAGCCGGGTGGCTGGTGCAGAAGGGCTGCCTTGCTCCAGCCTTCGCCCCCCACGGCACAGCCACCTTCCCGGACACCCGGTCAGGGAGGAGACCCTCCTGCTTCTTCCGCCTCTCCGCCTCCCTCCCTCCCTCCCTCCCCCTTTCCTCCCTTCCTTTCAGCATCTTTGTGGAGACGTCATTTACCTGTCCTCTATTTCACTCACTTAAAGTGTACAGTTCAGTATTTTTAGTCTGTGGAGTTGGACGATCATCACCATAGTCAATTTTAGAGCATTTGCCTCACCAGCCGTGACTCCCCAGTCCCTCCTCCCCAGCCCCTGGCTGCCACTCATCTGCTTTCTGTTTCTGTAGACTTGCTTATTCTGGACATGTGCTTATTCGTGCGTGTGGGATCATATGAATGTGGTCTTCGTGACTGGTTCCTTTCGCTGCGCGTGATGTTTCCAGGCTTCATCCACGTGGGAGCGGCTGTCAGCCCTTCATTCCTTGTTGGAAGCTGACAGTATATTCCGGCGTGTGCCTGGTCACCCACCGATGGGCCTCGGGACTGTTTGCGCACTTTGGCTATTTGGAGTTGAAGCCGTTGCATCCTCTTCCCAGCCCCAGAGTCCCCTCCACCCCCAGCCCTCCGCTCCCATCCTATTCTCCGTTTGTTTTCATCACCATCATGAGCTGGGAGTTTTGACCACCATGTATGTATCTGACACGGTAGATAGTTTCATTTTCTCGTTTTAAAAACTTTTTATAGATGACATCATACTGTGCATATTCAAGTTACTCTTCAGTGGTAGGCTTGTAAGTTCACCGATCTTGGTTCTTGTAGTTCCTTCGTTTTTATTGTAGTTAGTATTCCATTATAGGTGTATGTTCCAGTTTGTTGGAACTCAGTTGGAACTCAGTTGATAGTGGACAAAGGGATAATGTGAATTCATTCTTCAGTTGATGATGGATAAAAGTTTTTCTTAATTTTTTTTTTTCTTTTTAGCGTTAGCGACATCGCTGAACCTGCCTTCTGCGTCCTTACACAAGGGGTTTTCATGGCGTGTGCCTAGAAGTGGCATTATGTCGTGTGTATCTGCTTTTTGTGAGGAATCACTGGGGTCCTCTTTAAAGCAATGAGTTACTGTGGTGTTTTTAAGCAGTACAATTCATTAAAAAGTTTATTGGTGAACATATTTTTTAAAGAAAGATTTCATGATGTGCTACTTATTCTTTTAAAATGGCTTTAGATGAAGCCTGTTTTTCTTTTTGGCTATGCAAGACCAGATAAAAATGCAATTTTAATAAGATAAAATGAGATGCCTTTTAGTCTGAGCTTGAACTTTGCTGGAACATTTTCTGCTCAATAAACACAAGTGGTGTGCCCATGAAGAATTAATGCACTGGCGCTTTCCTGGGAGGCAAGGGGCCTGCAGCTTGTGGTAACACTGCAAGACCCATGGAAATGCCTTGCACATAGAGGGCAGAGGCCCACTGCCTGCTGGTTTTGAGCCCTATTCGTGTACTGAGACATAAGGGAAGGGTGCAAGCCAGCAAGGTAGGTGCATAGTACCGGTGAATGCTGTCTGTAGGTCACTTGGCGGTAGTCAAGCTGCTGCCATTTATGGCTGTCTCATTTCTTACACGTTCTTATTCCCATTTCCAAGACGAGGAAGCTAAAGCCTAGAGCAATTACCCAGGCCCTTTGCTTCTTAAAACAGGAAACCTACCAAGGTCGGGGAAGCCTCCAAGAGATTTCTGGAAAGGGACCACGACAGAGGGGTTGTGCATGACCTCCGTGGGCTGATATTCTTTCTTTCAAACAATGACAACAAACCCCCAAACCCTCCTGGATTCTGTGGGTCAGACTGGTCTCTTTTCCATGGTGTCACTGGGAAGGTTCAGAGGCTGGGAGGGAAATCAGAAGAAGGCTGGTGACTCACGCCTGTCGAGGTTGATGCCGGCCGTCATCAGCTGGGACACCCCCTTGAAGCTGTTGGTTCTAGTGCTTACATGTGGGCTTCTTCAAAGCCTGGTGGCTGGGTTCCAAGGGAGAACCCAAGAGAACCAGGTGGAAACTGTGCTGCCTTTAAAAACTTACATCTTCATTGAGACTCACATATAATAATAGTTCACCCATTAAAATTCACGTACAACACCATTCCCTCATTTAAGGGGTGAAAGTCAGTGGTACTGCGGTGTATCCGTCGCCACAGTCAACGTTAGAATATGTTTGTCCCCTCAGGAAGAAGCCCTGTAGTCTTCTGCTGTCACCCCAGTCTCCCATCCTCCACCCAGGCAACCACTAGTCTCCCTTCTGTCTCCCTTCTAGACATTTCATGTCAGTGAGATCATAGAATAGGTGTTTTTTTTTTTAAGATTTTTATTTGTTTGACAGAGAGGGAGTGTTAGTGAGAGCAGGAACAAGCAGGGGGAGTGGGAGAGGGAGAAGCAGGCCTCCCTCGGAGCAGGGAGCCCGACGTGGGGCTCGATCCCAGGACCCCGGGATCAGGACCTGAGCCGAAGGCAGACACCCAACGGCTGAGCCACCCCGGCGCCCCAGAATAGGTGTTTTTTCATGACTGGCTTCCCACGCGTAGCGTGATGGTTTCAAGGTTCTTCCGTGTTACAGCGTGAGCTAGCACTTTATTTTTTAGCTGATGACTATTTCACTGAATAATATTCCAGTTTACCATGTTTTTGTTGTCCAAGAACATTATAAATGCCAATTCATTTTTTTTATTTTTGTAGGTAAACTTAAAGGTTCGTGCGAGTTTGGAGTCCAGTGTGCTTGTCTTTGCCTGCCTCGTACTCCTCATAACCCCGTCGCAATGTGGGGGCTATCGAATGTCCGTTAAATTTTGCTGAAACATTTTAGGATATAAAAGGGAACATTTTCTGTAATTAAAATGTTGTGTCACAGGCACAGACATGGAGGAATGAATGGAAAACTGAAAAAATGCCCCAGCATAGAGTAATCTCCTGCGTATTGAAGACAGTGTCCGCAAACCAGTAGGGAATAGGATAGGTTTTTAACCAATGTCATTGGAGCAGTGGATTATTTTTTAAAAAAGTTTTCTGCAGGCGCCTGGGTGGCTCAATCCTTAAGCGTCTGCCTTCGGCTCAGGTCATGATATCAGGGTCCTGGGATCGAGCCCCACATCGGGCTCCCTGCTCGGCGGGGAGCCTCCTTCTCCCACTCCCACTGCTTGTGTTCCTGCTATCGCTCTCTCTCTCTCTGTCAAAAGAAAAAAATGTTTTCTACAGTCTGTAGCAAAATAAAATAAATTCTAGGTGACTCAATACTCAAGGGTAAAAAATAAAACCACACAAGCGTGGAACTAGGACACAGTTGGAGATTTATGCCATCTCAGTAAGTCGGCTGGGCTGAATGTTCGTGCGCTCCCAAAACTCACAGGAAGCCCTACCCACCAGACTGAGGGTGTTAGGAGGTGGGGGTTTTGAGGGGGTGAGGAGGTCCTGAGGCCAGAGTCCCCCATGGTGGGATTGGAGCCTTTATAAAAGAGACCCCAGAGAGCTTCCCTGCCTCTTCCGCTGGGTGGGGACGCAGCAGAAGGCACCAGCTGAGGCCCTCACCAGATACCAAATCTGCCAGCACCTTGATCTTGGACGTCCAGCCTCCAGAACTGTGGGGAATAAATGTCTTTGTTTATAAGCTGCCACATGCGTGGTATTTTTGTTATAGCAGCCGGGATGGACTAAGACAGTTGGGGGTGGGCCTTTTTAAGTAGAGTCCTCAAAGGAGAGCCCCGTGTAACGCATAAAAGTGAGGTTGACTTAACCACAGAGACCTTTAAGCTTCCATAAGCCAAGAGGATGGCTTTGTCACCTGTCTTTCACCATTCTGTTCTCTTTTGGTTTTCTGCTGCTGCTGTAACAAATCAGCATAACCCTATTGGCTTATAATACACACTTGCTGTCTTATAGTTCTGGTGCTGGGCTAAGATGAAGGTGTTGGCAGGGCTGCAGTGCCCCCGAGACCCGTGCTCTTTCTCATCTTCCTGCCGTGCCCGCGTTCTCGGGTGGTTGATATCTCCTGCTCATTTCTCATGGTGGCATGAGGCTGGGGAACCTCTAGGCCTCACATGTGTGTTCCAGGCAGATGAGGAAGGGCCCACACTGCTGGTGACTGAGCTGCGCTGGGTCACAGGGCCTCCCCTGGCTGGACGCCCCCGCCGAGGAAGGGGTGCGGGTGCGGCCACTCAGTGGACCGCCCTGGTGTCTGCCACGGGGGCTGTTTTGTTTCCATCTGTTTTCCAAGTTTACTCTGATGAACAGAAGACTTTATTTTTAAATTTAATTTTTATCTTTTTTAAAAAGATTTTACTTATTAGAGAGGGAGAGAGAGAGAGAGAGAGAGAGAGAGAGAGGGCACGAGTGGGGGAGCAGCAGTGGGAGAGGGAGAAGCAGGCTTCCCGCGGAGCAGGGAGCTCAATGTGGGGCTCGATCCCAGGACCCTGGGATCATGACCTGACCTGAAGGCAGACGCTTAACCGACTCAGCCCCCCGGGCGCCCCCAGAAAACTTTTATAATAAAATCATTAAGTCTTTAAAAAACACATTTATCTTCTTTTCGTGATTCTGCATTCTGTTTTTGATGAAATGGCAGCAGATGGGAATTTCCAGACGGGCATTTCAGCATTAGTTCGTAGTCCTGCCGCTGGCACACGGTCCGGGAGCAGAGGCTGCTGGAACTGGGCGATGCTGAGTGGCTCCCAGCTCCCAGCAGCCTCGTCGGCAGCGGCGCCTGAGGCCCTGCCGATGCGGTCAGGGCTGCGGCTCCCCGGGCTGAGGCCCATTTGCCCGGCAGGCTGAATGCCCCGTTGTGTGTGTGGCGTGGACCTGTGTGGCGCCATTCATCCCTTCCAGACGGGCCCTCGGGACCCGTGGCAGCTGAGGGAGAGTTGCTGCTCAGGCGTGTAGGTTACTGGGAACTGGTCCTTTTCCCGAGTTAGTGTGGGCTCTTGAGGAAGCTGGAGAGAAGCTAATCGGTTTTCCTTTCTTTTTAAACAGCATCCAGCATGTGTACGGCGCCCAGCACCCCCCCTTCGACCCACTGTTACACGGCACGTAAGTGAGGCCTGTGGTCATGCTGCATCACGCACGCGCCTGGGCGTCCTGGTGACCCGCCGGCCTCCTCGGGGTCCTGAGGGGAGCAGCGTGGTCTTCCCTCGAGCAGACACGCGTCAGGGCCTCGCACGACTGGTCCTCCGGACAAGGGCAGAGGAGGAAGCCCAGCCCAAAGTGGAGGAGAGCACGAAGCTGGCACCCCCTTAGCTGACGGGAGGTCCTGGCCCCGGGCCTGTTCTCGGTGGTCAGCTCACTTCCCTTGCCCTCCACTGCACGCTCTGCCCCTGTGTCTGGCTCCTCCACCAGAGCCATGCAGGGGGCTGGTGTGACCCCCCGCCCGTGCTGGCGGGTGTCACTGGGCCCCCCGCGGGGGCTCTTGCCCTAGTGGTGCTGTGTCGCGTCTGCACGCCGAAGGACAGCCGCTCCTGCCCCCGCCGCCCCCACTGCTGCCTTAGGTTTGCGGGCACTGGCCCGTGTGAGGTTTGGGGACTCCCTGTGAATGCCGTGACTGCGGTGCTGGGGTTCCTCCTGAGTGGCTTCTGTCACTGAGCAGAGACTGCTCAGCGGTACTGCCCCTCGAGAGCCTCTCCTTCCTGCGCCCGAATCCTAGGAGTCCTCTTCTGTTTTTTTTTTAGGATTATTTATTTGAGAAAGAGCGAGGGCACAAGAGTGGGGGGGGTAGGGAGGGGGGCGAGGGAGAAGCAGACTCCCCACCAAGCAGGGAGTCGGATGTGGGCCTCGATCCCAGGACCCCGGGATCACAGCCTGAGCCGAAGGCAGACATTTAACCGACTGAGCCCCCTGGGTGCCCCAGGAGTCCTCTCTCGGATGCCTCTTTGGGTTGTGCTTGCTCTTCACCCTCAGCTCAGTTGACACTGGAAGCTTGAATGTGCACCTTTCATCCAAGGGCTCCTTTCTGACCGGTCGTGGGGTGAGTCCGCTCCAGCCTCCGAGGGGACAGCTGAAGTCTGCCTTTGCTTTGCAGCTTGCTCAAGGGCGCGCCGAAGGTGCCCGCCACACCTGTGAAGGCCAAGAGCATCAGCACCTTCCCGGAGTTTGGGAGCAACACCAGCGACGCCTGGGATGCCGGCGAGGACGATGACGGGCTCCTGGCCGTGGCAGCCGAGAGCCTGAACACCGACGTGGTCATGGAGACGGCCCACCGCGTCCTGCGCAACCACAGCCAGCGGCAGGAGCGCCGCAAGCCGCAGGAGGCGCCGGGCCCCGAGCAGGAGCCACAGCCTTCCGCAGAGCCTCCTTCAGTCCCGAGCGGTGACCTCCGGCTGGTGAAGTCCGTCAGCGAGAGCCACACATCCTGTCCTGCAGGTGGGCGGGGGCGCGAGGAGATGACGTGCAGTGCTGCGAGGGAGAGGGGCTGGAGGCCTCTCGGTGCGGGAGGTTAGCGGGCGTTCCGTCCTCTTTGCCACAGGAGCTCGTGCCCTTGGAAGACCTTGGGGTTGTGATCCACGTGCCCACAGGCCTTCCCAGGCAGGAGAAGCCGTAGACTTTTCTTTGTGTCCCCAGCTGAGTGCTTCTTTCTCTCCTCCGGGTGGAGGGTGTGCTGTGTGGCTTTCGTGGCCTGGCTGTGAGAGGCCCACAGTGAGCACCAGGCCCCAGGGGACTGTGTCTCCCTTCTGAGTGTGCCCCGGTTGTCCCAGGGGGGCATTTCCAGCTCAGGGGCCAGGCCAACTGCACGTTCAGAGGCTGCACCTCCTCCGGCAGCTTCCAATGACACCCCTCCCCCGCCGGGACACCTGCACGTGGCTCAGAGTCTGTAGGGGGCAGAGTCTGGGGTGTGGAATGACTGCCTCCAGGTCATAAACTCAAGGATGCGATCAGCGCATGTCTTGTACCCCGTGCCTGGTGCTCAGTAGCCTTTCTGGAGACGGCTCTCAGTAGCTTTGCTTTTTGTTTTTGGGGGTGTCTATGATGTAAAACAACCCAGTGTTTGATGAGCCTCTGTGATGGGCCAGACTCTTAGGGCTTGGGGTGCCCCCAGGAAGTCCCTGGCCTGGAGTGTGTGTTCTGGTGAGGGGGACAAGCACCGACCTACACGTTGGGTCAGTAAGGAGGCCTGAATCGTGCGGGGAGGAGACAAGCGCCCTGGGTCGAGACAGAGGTGGGAGGTGGCGACAGCAGCCTGGACCTGGGGCGTAATCTTCAGTCAGAGCGTCCAGATGCCCTCCTGAGAAGGTGACACGAGCATCAGTGAGGTGAGGCAGTGAGGCGTGGGGAGCTGGTGGCAGAGGGGCCGGCCTGCACCGCGGCGGACTCACGGCCTCCCTCTCCCAGGGTCTCTGGGGGTCAGGGGGACTGCCCCTTGTTTACAGAGGAGAGAAGAGGGCATCGGGCAGCCTCAGCTTGCCCTGCTGGGACCACGGAGCTGGCGTTCATCCCCCTGTCTAGTTTTCAGAAACCCGTCCCGGGAGCTGACTAATGTTTGGAACATCACACGTCTTCGTGGGTGAGAACGCTGTGAATTAGTTCCTTTGACCAGTTTTCATATTGGAATCTGAACTGTTTTTCTCCAAAATAGGCTGAACTTCAAAGTATTTGAGTTTAAAAATGAAAATCTGGTTAGGGCTTCTGCGAGTGGGTCGGGGTTCCCCGAGACTGACGCATCCTATGCCGATTACCGCCTGCGCGCCCCGGCCGGGCAGTGCCCTCAGCCTGGGTGCCTGTTCAATTTGGCAGGCGCCCCGGATTCCTCTGCCCTCTGCTGTGCCCCACGCCTCTGGGGCCTGGGTAGAGCCTCTGTGACACCTGCCATCTGAGCAGTTGCTGGGGGGCGGGCCTCAGCACCCGTAGAGGTGGGGGCCCATCTCGGCTGAGCAGGCAGGCTCCTGTTCTCTCAGGCCGTGGGGCTGCTGCGAAGAGCACCACAGGCCGATGGTGCATGAGCAGCAGAAAGTTAGGTCTCCTCGTTCTGGAGGCTGGAAGTCAGGTCAGGCGGCCAACACGGTTGGGTCCTGGCTCTCTTCGGGGCGCAGACAGCTGCCTTCTCACAGTATCCCAACATGGGGGAGACTAGAGAGGGGAAACAGACTGTCTCGTGACTCCTCAGGAGCACCGATCCCATCAGGGGACCCCACCCTCCTGACTTCCTCTAAACCTGAGGCCCTTCTTCCTAACACCGTCCCGTCTGGGGAAGGACTTGCGCATACGGACTTCGGGGCCTCACAGCATTCAGCCCATGGCCAGGTATGCAGTTGGGCTGCATCCTGCCAGGGTGGGGAGCCTTGGGGTGGCCTCCTCCTGTAAAAGCCAGGTGAAGGATGCCCCAAGCGGCTCATGCTGGGGAAGGGGCCGATTACTGTGTTTGCCTCTGCCTCCACCCGCTTGCGCATCAACCATCTTTGCTTTGCTTTCTGAGCAGGCTTTTTGTGAGCAGTTCATTTCATGATAGCAGCTAGTGTTTGTCCATCGCTTACTGTGGGGCAGAGACTGTCTCGGGCCCTCATCGTGAACAGATCCCTCTGACTTTGCAGCCAGTCTAGGAGAGAGCTTACGGGGGAGGTATAGGGAGGTCACGTGGCTCGTCCAGCATGCTGAGCGGTGGGGTAGGGTTCAAGTCCAGGGCGTCTGAGGCCAGGGCCTGCTGCTAGCTGCTGACCTCCCCACAGAGAGCAGGGCCTCTTCGCTGGTGATGCCGCCCCCAGGGGACATGAGGTCCTGTTTTAGGACCTTTCCTGTTAACATCTGGGGCAGGGAGTGTGTGCTCCTGGCATGAAGTGGGCAGAGACCAGGGTGCCTGGCCCCCAGGGGACTCTCTGGCCCGACCGTGCACAATGCCAAGGAGGGGAGGGCCGCTCTGGAGCCCGAGGTGGCCTCTCAGGGAGCCGACCCCACGGGTGGCTGGCAGTGGTGCGCAGAACTCGTGGGCCTGTGTTCAGTTCCCTTGGTGGGCTGTTAGTCGTGGGGATGGCTTACTCGGTGTTGGCGCTAAGACGACCACGTCAGCCCTCATTCTTACTGGGCTGGGCCCGGCGCAGATGTGTTGACTGGCAGGCAGTCTAGTGGGGAAACACAAGGATCTGAGTCTTTCACCTCCCTGGGTGGAATGGAGCCTTGGAGTGATGGACAGGACCCAGAAGCACCCACGGGTAGAAGTCCCAGTTCAGTCTTGTTGAGGAGGGCCAGGACGTGTCAGGGAAGGCTTCAGGGAGGAGGTGATGTCTCTAAGGTTACCCGTAGGGTGAGGCTCCAGACTTAGGAGGTAGGGCCATCCCAGCCGAGGGGAGGTGCCGGGTGGGCTGGGCTGGCTGACTGCACACCTCATCTACGTGGTTTGCAAGTTCCCCCAAGGCAGGGACCATGTCCCATTACCTTTGTTTCCCTTTGGGGTCCTGTGTCATTACGTGAATGTTGCTGAGCTAAACTGAGGTGTCTTCAGGGCCTGGTGACCGCGGGCTCTCCCCTCCTCCATGTTCTGCCCCACTCTTGTCCCTGCACCGGCCCCACGGCCCAGGGCCAGGCCAGGCCTCTGTTGAGGTGAGGGACCTGTGAGTGCCATTTCATGTGACGGTGCTCCTCGGAGCGGAGTTGTGTTTCTGGGGCCTGGACGCTGTGTTTCACGGGGCCCAGTCTGATCAGAGTGCTGCCTGCCCTTCCCACTTCCGGCATTGTGTCGGTGCCTGTCCCTTTATGGTGCGCCACCGTGGGAGCTCACGTCACCCCACGCAGCGTCCACAGGGCCTGCTGGCTGCCCTCGCCTTTGGCCTTCAGCCCTGGGTAGATGACAGCCTGAAAGTTCCGGGATGCTGCAGCAGGGGTCTCCGGCTGGCCTTCCCCGCGCCTCCTGCTTACCTTTCGACTGTCCTGACTTTCTTAATCAGCGTCTGAGGTATCTGTACCTTTGTATCTGAAGTCAGATGCCCTTTGCTTGGTCTAGGGTGCCACTGGCGTAATGGGGAGCCTGCGCCTTTGGCTGCGAAGGGCTCAGTGGGCGTGGCTGGGGAGGACTGTCCATCGCTGATGGGGACTGAGATGCAAGTGGGTCCTGGGTGGACACTGGCTGCCCCGGAGGGGGACACTGATGTGTTTTCCACTTACAGTAGCAGGGAGACCTGCTGTTGACCTTCCTGCTTCCTCGGGGGGCAGGGGGCATCACTGTGCCTTGCAAACCCTGCCTGTCCCATCTTAGAGGGGGACCGGATGTGTGCTCTGCTCAGGACGACGTGGTCCTTACATGTCGGAGTAGATCACAGGGATGCTCTCTAAGATGGTGGAGAAGTAAAACTCAGCACGTTTGGTTCCGCGTTAGAACGGGGAATCCCTCCCCCCGCCCATCGTCTTTCCTGAGGAATCATGACGCACAGCAGAGTGGCAGATTCCGAGGGCGGGGAGGAGGGGGTCTGAGCATCGCTGCCCTGGGCCTCCCGGAGGGCAGGCCGGTGGGGACACCTCCTCCAAGCGAGGGGTCAGCCCTGCGGAGGGGCTGGGACTTGCCCTCACCTCGACGCCCACCTCTCCAGGCTTTTCTGGAAGCTTAACTGGGCCAGACACTGCTCCTCTGTAGCCTGAGGGTTTCTGTGTGAAGCCTTTCCGGGCCGCGATTTTAGGGTAATGAGTCAGCTCTGCGGGAAGAAGGGGGTCGGTGGGAGTCTGACAGCGGCGGCCAGGAGCCGGCATGTTTTCTTCACTTTGTTTGGTTCCCGCCCCATCTCCTGGAGTTGGTTTTTTCCTCTACTTTAAATTTCAGTTCTGGGAGATGTGACCATTCAAGGGTATTTAGACCTGGGGGTGTACAGCCTGGTGCTGCCTGTTCCTGTGGGCCCCTCGTTGGTCCCTGGTGGCTCTTTCTGAGTGGGTGTTGGGCCTTGGGCTCTTTTCTGTGGCTCTTCCTGGTCCGGGTTCCTGGATTTAACGCACGGTTTCACTTCGGCCCTGTGTGTCCCCGTCGGTGGGCCTTTGTGCGTGGTGGTAGGTGGTGCCCTGGGGCGGGGGGTGCTGGGCAGGCCTGCAACCTGCTGCCCCTCCCCTGCTTGCATGCGCTCTAGCTTCCTGTGCTTTCTCTTGGTGATGGTCCCTGCCCGCCTCCCTCATGGGGCTTGGGGAGATCCAAGGGGTGCAGTGCCTTTGTGGGCTTCATGCTCCTCCACGTGTGGCTCGGTGGCTTCCTTCTGTGCTCAGGCCCAGGTGAGCCCCACAGGCACCAGCAGATCCTTGGGTTGTGTCACCTGGGCAGGCCTGCTAGCAGTGGGGGAGCCGGGGGGGTCTGGAGTTTTCTGGTTGTCGTTTTGCTTTTGTGTGAGGCATGTCTGTTTTCCCAGGGAGTAACGCTCTACCAATAAGGCCAGTGGGCTTCTTGGGTGTTCACTAGTTTCACTTTATTGCCCCGGTCACGCGGGTCTGCACTGGCCGGTTAGGGGAGGAGGGGATGGCTGTGGCACGGTGGCGTTCCCGAAGGGCAGGTGGCGCGGGTGGGAGCCTTCTTACTGGGGAACAGGGCCGTGGGGGGGGGTCCAGGAGGCCATCCTCACCCCCTGCGCGCTCTCTCCGCAGATAGCGCCGGCGACACTGCTCCTCTGCAGCGGTCCCAGTCTCTCCCACACTCGGTGGCGGCCGCCGTGGGTGGCACGTCTGACCCCAGCGCCCTCAGCAGCTCAGCGTTAAGTGAACGAGAGGCCTCCCGGCTCGACAAGTTCAAGCAGCTCCTTGCCGGCCCGAACACAGACCTCGGTGAGTCCCCCGCTGGCGGAGGGCACGTGCACCTGCGCCCCCACGTGTGGTTTACTTTGTCAGAGGGCGATGTGTTTGTGCCGGCCTGCGCGAGTCACAGAGATGAGCCGTTTGTCCTTGAGGTTTACTTCAGCTGTGTGTTGGTCATGGGCTTCCGGGGCCATTGATCCGGTATTTTCTGTTCTGTTCTATTTTTTAATGCTCCGATTGAACTCCTTTGGCTTCTTGGGGCTGAACTGGTTTGCTCCACAGGACTGGCCAGCTTGGTGTCCCTGCTTTTCAGAGTCTTCGTGGGGACAAAGAGCTGGTGACCAGGGTCCTGAGTGCTGCTGACTTTACACCTTCCTTGGTGTAAAGTGTGGGATAGGCCGTGAACACCGCGGGAGCCCAGGCGGGGCTGTGGTGGGCGGGCCAGCAGGGGGCCGTACAGTCAGCAGTGTGGTTCTCGGGGGTCACCATGGCCGCGGGGCCGCTCTGCCACCAGGCTCTGAGGCAGGTGCTCGCCTCCAAGTCCATTTGCTGGGCTTCCCCTCGAAGCCGCGTCCTTTCCTCGGTACGTCTCATCTTTGCGGAGTGCCACGCTGCATCGGGCATCTTGCTGGCTGCGGGGGCTCTCCGGAAGGTGGGATGTGGCCGCGGTCACGAGATCACGCATGGTGGAGGGTGGGTGCCAGGGTGGCACGGAGGGCTGGCGCGCCTCGGCAGCAGTGCCCCGCTCCGCCAGCAGGTGGCGCGTGAGGCACGCGGCTGGGCTGCCCAGCAGGGAGGCGGGCGGAGGCGGAGTGAGCATGGAGCTGAAGGATAGGCCGCGTCCCTGAGGATGCTGCTCCCCTTGTGGGTGCAGAAGGGTTCCTTCCCGCGAGTTTCTGCGTTTTCATTTTCCTGATTGATTTGCTCACGCACACGTAAGACAGTCACGCGGCAGCAGAGGATGTGCGGTAAAAATGTGTCGCTCTCCTCTTCCCCAGGCCTGCTTTCCCTCCTTCGCGTGATTCCAGGTGTCTTCTTCCAGGGACAGGAAGGGAGGCCTCTCGTTCTCTTAACGCTGAGCTGCTGAGGGCGCTGGGGTCAGATCACGCACATGACGATGCACGTGACGTCTTAAACCTTTTATTTTGGTGTAATTTCAAATGTAGAAGAAAGTTGCAAGAACGGGTTAGGGTTAGGGTAGGTGACCCTGTGACCCATGCAGCCCCACAGTCAGCATGTTGGAGCCAGGAACACTCCCCCTGTGCTGAGCTCCCGGGCAAACCCTGCAGGTCCCCTCCCCTGGCTGACCCCCTGAAGGTTCTGTCCCCACCTGCCATGAGTTGGAAGTCCCCACAACCTCCTCTTCAGGTTTGGCTAATCTGCTCCAGTGGCTCATGGAACTCAGAGAAACATGTGTGATTCTTGGGCAGCCATGAATCTCAGCTTCTTCATGATGGGGGGCAGCCCAGCAGCTGAGTGACCATGCAGGGCTGCCTCTGCTTTTATTTCATTTTTTTATCAGAAAAGCAAGGGCAGTTGCCTCAAAGCGTGGGAGAGGAGGACAAAGGGATGGCAAGTATCCTGAAGCGGTAAAGCAGTCCTGCACCCTCCCCTAGGGGCAGGCACTCAGGGAGGCAGTCATGGGATAAGGGAAAAGCAGGATGTTTGTGCTAGCAAGCACCAGGTGCAGAAAGGGGACCTGAGGGTTACATTCTTTCCTAGCTCCTAACCTGTGCCCTGCCCCTGGGGATCATGGGATCCTGCTCCTACTGGGCCCTTGCGTTCAATAGTCTGAGAACAGGAACGCTGTTGACCTTTCAGCTGCTTCCACAATCACTCCTGAGGGCTTACAATATATTTTCTAAGAATAATTCCACACTTCCTCCGTGAGGTGGACTACCTGGTATGCACAGAGGTGGACATGAAGTTCTGCGACCACGTGAGTATGGAGATCCTGTCCCCCCTCTTCGGCACCCTGCACCCCGGTTTCTACCAGGCAGCCCGCAAGGACTTCAGCTACAAGCATTGGCCACAGTCCCAGGCACACATCCCCAGGGACAAGGGCGACTTTTATTACATGAGGACCTTTTTTGCGGGGTCGGTGGTAGAGGACCAACTGACCTTAGCCTGTCACCAGGCAATGGGGGTCAACCTGGCCACTGGGATTGAGGCTGTGTGGCACAATGAGAGCCACCTGAACAGGTACTTGCTGGACCATAAGCCCATTAAGGTGCTGTCCCCAGAGGACCCGTGGGACCCTCAGCTGCTGGGCTGTCCCCGAGAGGACCTGTGGGACCCACAGCTGCTGGGCTGCCCCTGGAGGACCTGTGGGATCCACAGCTGCTGGGCTGCACCCCATCATGAAGAAGCTGAGATTCATGGCTGTGCCCAAGGATCACCAGGACATCAGCAGTCGTTATTACTTGAGGAGTCATTTTGGTGCCCACCAGGTCTGTCACTTGAGTTAACAGATGAGCCCGAAGGAAGGACGTCATCAGTTAGGAAGTACAGACGAAGGTCAGAGTGGAGGTGGGCAAAGGCATCTTTAACTCAGAGAGCGGGGGAGCCCCGAGCTTCTTCTACACACCTTGCCCTGCTCATCGATTCCAGCTGCCTGGCTCTGAGTTCTGTCCTTTTAATGAACTGGTCATCTAGTAAGTAACATGTTTCTCTGAGTTCCATGAGCCACTGGAGCAGATTATTCAAACCTGAAGAGGAGGTTGTGGGGACTTCCAGTCTGTAGCCCATAGCTCAGAAACAGGGGTGACCTCTCTGCCCAGCCACTGGCTGACCACTGAGTTAACAGCACAGGGATTCAGTGGCCACACACAGCAAAGAATACAGACTTGACAAAGTGAGTTCAGAAAAGTCACTAAGCCAACAGTAGCAACTACAATGAGCAGCAATCATGAAGCCTGGAGTGGGGAAGGTCTGATGTTCAGGATGCTTCCATTATAATATTCATAATCACACCCTGGACTTGTCACTGGGGCCAAGTCCCCCGGCCGGGGGTCAGGGAGCTCCTACATGTTCCACGTACCTCTCTCTGGCTCCCCCAGCCGTGCACAGTCCTATGCTGCTTCCCAGCAGAGGTCGGTTTTAACCAAAGCCAGGAACATGGGATGGGTTTTCCTGACTCCCCACCCCCTGCCCCGCAGAGCTGCAAGAGAGGAAAAAGATTTCCTCAACCCTGTTAAGGTCCCCGGCTGAGTCTGGAAATTGACAAAGACAGATGAACAGGAGAAAAGCAAGCAAAATGTATTGGTTGCTTTGGTGGGAGCCTCACAAGACCATGAAGACCAGCAGAGGTGACTGGAGCAGACAGCTCTTCTAACTTTTAGACAAAGAAGCAGTAAGTGTGTGAAGAATTGACAGACGCAGGGGTTTGGACTAGGGCTCGTAAACGGTAAAGAAGTAACTAGGAAGATAAGGGTTAGTTGAACCAGGTGTGTGTGTATAGACCCCGTGGTCCTAAATTCCTTGACTCTGGTGATAAGCACGTCATCTCTGTGGTCCGGGGCGAGAAAGTTCCACATGGCAGTCTTCTGACCTGCTTAAGGGAAAAAGGGCTGATGGCTGGGGGTCAGAGAGACCTTCTTGCTTTGCTCTATGCAAAAGTTCTTTTAGCTTCTGTATTTATTTTGCCAAGGTGCCATATTCGGGGTAGTGTGTCCTGACCCTCACTGGCCTGGTGCTGTACTCTGCCTCCTAGTATCAGGACATTGGATGTGCTGCCGTGGAGACCTTCCAGCCCTGGGGTAGCCCCTTGTCCAGGGAGGCACCTGCCTCAAGGGGAGGGTCGCTAAGGGTGGCCGCCCCTCCTCAGGGAGATTGGGTGGGAGAATGCAGATCTTACTTCGAGAAACTGACTTTATTTGCTGAAAAGGTCTACCTGATAGTGGGATCATACGGGAGTTCTTTTTTTAGTATTTTGGGGAAGCTTCATCCTTTTCCCAGCATGGGTGTGCCAACCAAAGTCAATTCCAGATGATTTTTACCTATAAACCAGAGATTTTGCAAGAACCTCTCCAGCACAGAACATGAGGAGAACAGTTTCAAGACCTTAGACAGGCAGAGATTTCCCAGGATGCAAAATATACTAACCGTAGGAACAAACTGGTGACTTAGAAACTATGAAATGAAGAACTGGTTCTCCTTCTTCCATTTCTGGCTAGTGTGCTGGTCTGTGGCTCGATCTCACCTCAGGCAGCTGAAAGGTTGACCTCCCAGGTCAGCTACCACTGAGATGGCTACTGTTTCTAGAAATTCTTCGGGGTGTGGCCGGTTTTCCCCACCTGTGCACTGATCAAGTCGGCGACCTTGGACAGTGGAGCCACGGGTCCTCCAGGCATGGTTCTCCCCCAATGCCCCAGTAAAGCCATTCCACTGAGGGTTTAGGGGGACCGGAGCTGCCCCTAGGCAAAAACACCAGAGGTTCTCACTGTCCCTACCTGGCCTTCAGATGCTCCTCAGTTACTCCTGTGCCTCTGGTGTCTTCCTGGAACCCTGACCTGGCTGGTTTTGGACAGTTTGTCCAGTGGTACCCTCACTTTCTGGGAGGGGGATTTGCTGGAATCCGCAGTGTGTCCTGCAGCCCCACCGGGATCACTTTTTGAAGGCACGTCGCCTGGGCCATCTGAGGACTCAAGACTGTGGGTCTGTGGCTTGGAGGGATTCTGAGCAGCTGGTGGGATTCTGAGTGCTGGTGGGATGGGAGGGCTGCAAGGCCCAGAGGCAGGTTTCCAGGAAGCTGTCTGGGGTCCCCGGCATCCTGCCGTTTTTGAATCAAAGCCCTGAGATCTTTAAAATGCCAGCAACATTACAGCATGGGCCAGAGAAGCAAATGTCCCTGTGCACCCAACACCACCTAAACTATTGGCCATTTCTTGTCACTTGAGTTGAGTAGAAAGGATTGGGAGTCAGGGCTTGAGGGGGGTCCTGGGTCAGACTTTGTGTTTGGGGGACAAAGGTCATCCGGACAAGCTTGTGCTGAGGCTGAGGAGGGGGTCTGTGTGGAGACCCCAGCTGCA